GACTAATAATTAAAATCTTGTTAAAACCCGTGACAACATAACATATTCACTATGTATATACTCAATAAGTTAATATGTTATATGGAATAATTGTCACTTTTGTATCTAATTAATGACAGTGAAGCTGGTTAAGGGGCTGAGCTGGAGAACAGATAGCGAGAGGGAATGATGTTACTGTGCTGAGTGAAAGGATCCTGCCGTTGAAACTTGCATGCATGTCTGTCTGTGCGCTGAGTGATGATGAGCATACCCTGTGCTGGGTGTGGATAGACACTGCTGCATTTAAATACACTTTACCAACACACACACTAACTGACCTCTTAGCATGCTTCCTCTGCACTTAATCCTGCTATTCCCAACAGAGAATACTGTGTGTCTGTATATCTTATCTGTGGGTGTTTCTGTGTGTCTCCTGGGGGGTCTTGTCTGGTACCCCCAAAAGTGTGTTTATTTCTGTGTAGCTCAGATTCATGCCTGTCTCTTATTCATCCAAGCTGTTACCTGCACACTGCAGTCTGCATCAACTGGGTAACACTAATGCAGTTCAGTTAGATAACTGTGGTTATGGTCTGTGTTGTATAAAAGGTTGAGTTTTTCTGAGCTCAAACAGAGGAAGAGATTGTCCTCTGTGTTGTCTCCATCGGTATATTGTTTATGCATGTGTGTGTAGTCATGTTTTAAGTCCTGTCACCGATCAAGTAACACGACATGTCATGTCACATACCTGGAAATTGTGCCTCTCATTTCATTCATTTTTTAAAAATCCATTAAAACAGGCAAAGGACTTTGATCCTGACCTGAAGTGTTACATATAATTATTGCTTTTACTAAAACATCTGATTGCAGTGACCTCACCTGTGAATAGTTATGTCTGGAGATGCAGAGAAATGTATTTAACACTGATAAATATATATGTGTTATATGTGTGGCTTACAGGTTTATTTTAAAATGCATCAGTCATCAGTCAGGTATCAAGCCATCACCGGTTCTGACTATGGAACTAAAACGGTGGTGTCTGTGTCACATACCGTACTACGCTTTCTGCGAACAAGCCTACAGTGTAATGTCTCACATTTTACGGATGTGTAAATTACTGTTAATGCGACCCTACACCTCAGTGATGATAGAAAATGTTGATGATTAGTGTGAAATCTCAGTTTACTGCTTATCAGAGGAAACAAAGGAGTAGCTGTTGAGAGAGGAATGGGGGAGTGAGCATCAGATACAGCCAGTCACATGTGAATAAAAGTTAATTTGTTAATTACTTAGCAGTGCATATGCACTTAAGTGTTCTGTTATTGTCAGCCATTTTTATTTGAAGAAAGTATATACTCAAAAGTTACAGTGCCCTGATCCTTCTGTACATTGTCAAAATTAATGACTATTTTTAAATAAAACAACTTTAAATAAGAGCATTCATTCTCCCTCAGTCTGCCTCATTTTCTCTCTGGTTAAAAATTTGTTTGTGTATGTGTCAGTATGGCCACCTGTTTTCATAACTTCTATTTTTGCAAAATTCTTTAAAGAGTTGTCATGGGCAGTTCTGACGCTTCATGTTGCTACACTGTGTTTACAATAAAATACCTCATTCCTAAAAATGACCCGTCCTTCCTCTTGCCTTCAGATTCTCTCTCCTCTCCTGGATCTCCATCAGAATTGCAGTAAACTGAAGCTGTACATCAGTCACCTGACCTCACTGTGTCAGGAGCGAGACCCAGTCATATTGCAGGACTTCGCTCCGCCCCCAGCCTATCACCGCTCTGACTCCACCTCCTGGCGTACGCAGCTGGACAGCATGACGCGGGAACAAGTAGGACTGTTATGTGTGTGTACTTGAGTGTGTGATATCTGAAAGCCGAGGGAAGGATGTTTGCCACTCCTCAGTTATAAAAGAGCAAATGTACTATTTGTGAAATGTTTTGTCACTCCTCATTTTTCAGTCTCTAAAACATGCCATGAAGATCGTTTGTTTCTGTATGCTGCTTGTACATACTACATGTGATGAGGTGTATGAGTGTGTGTGATTGTTCTCATTGTGTGGGTATGTGTGTAGGAGTAGGGCATACCCGGGTCAGCCTGGCAGATTTTTGGTGCTATCTTTGACACAGCTGAAAAGATTTACTCAAGCGGGTCACCTGCATGATAAGTGCCTGGCAGGGGAACAAATACTGTTTCAGACATTTTCATTTACAGGGAGTAAACTTTGCTTCAAGCTTTTGGCAGCTGGAGGAGGGTCGGTTCATATACAGAGCAAAGAGGGGAGAGAAGTATTTATGTATTTATTTTACTCTTGAAAGAGTTGTCATCTGAGAGAGGAAGAAGAGAAAAGAAAAGGGAATAGGAATAGAGAAATCAAAGGTGAGGCTTAGGGAAAATTGAAGAAACACTGGCTAAACTCTGAGCCTTGATTTAGCTGCATTGTCATGGTAACCAGTTTTACATACTGATTATAAACCGTAAGGCTGCCTTTGACTTTCCCTGTCTCTTTCTGTCCTTTTCTCCATATTGAAAACATATCAGGCAATACATGGTTGTACATGTGGTATACATTGAAAAATGGTAACTCTAGACGCACGCTCACAGAGCTGTGTGACAGAGTGTGTGGTTAGGGTACAGCAGCACTAGTTTCCTATAGTCCTCATGAAAGCCCTATTGTATGTCTGAATGTTGGCTTCAGATGTGGACCTGCATGGTACAGTGTCACATTAAATAAACTTTGACTACAGAGAATTAAGCTGTCCAGTAATCACAGTGTACATTAAAGGCACGGAGTAATGATCTGGGTGACTTTTCACGGACAGACAATTACTGTATCTATTTTTCATCATCAGTCTGTTTTCACAAAACAATTCAGACTATATTCTGCGGTCTAGTGGCCAGGAGTTCCACATGTTCTAAAGAAAAACATGCTCTGAATTAAAACTGATTTTGTGGGCAGTTATGAAAGCTTATCTAACAAGATGGAGTGCTTCTAGACCGCCTGAGTAGCCTGCAGTATTTTATTCCTACCTAATATTTACAAAAACATTTAAAAATGAAAACATTTAAACCTAACTGTTCGCACAATCACATCTGAGTCCAATTTACATTACTCTCAACTATTTTCCCATCATGTTACTGGGTTTGAATTGTTTAGCTGCACATTTATTTCATTAAAGTGTTTAAATAAACTTGCAGGGTCTCAAGTTAGGTAGTCCCTTACAGAAAGCATCTTTAATGCCTGTTGTCAGGATGATGCTGTCCTGGCATCTTCTAAGTCACAGTGTCTTCCAATATTCTCCATATGACCACTCCCTGTATCTAATTACTGATCTGTCGATCCTTCCCAGTAAGTGAGCAAGGTAAGCGGCTGTACACTTACTCAGCCAACCAGTTAGTACTTGAAGTCTTTTCCTCATGTAAAACCAAAAAATACTCATGAAGACACTGATAAACCATACTTTACTGGATGAAGGTGAATAAAATCGGTGAACACACGAACGACATGTTTTTTAATCCTAAACGATGTTATATGATTTGAAAAGCCAAAAATGTATCAGATGACTTGAGACACACTAAAACAATGGACTCAATGTTGAGTTGGCTCTGAATGAATGTCACTTTCGGCTTTTCCTGTTTTGGGGTCTCCACAGTGAATCGCATGTTGACATTTGGCACGTTTTACGCCGGATACCCTTCCTGACGCAACCCTGATTCAAACCTGTGGCACAGCAGCAAGAGCGCTGCGCCTTCACCACTAGCCTACCAGGGACGGCCGAGTTGGCTCTATTAAAGTTAAAAATGTATTTGTCTGTGGAACGTCAAATACTCCTACATGTTTTTAACATTTGTGAGACTATACTTTAACATAAAACTAGAGACAAAACTAAAAATAATCATTTTGCTGAATCACATTGAATTGCTTGGTCAAAATCAGATGGAAGAAAATGCTTGTTATAATATGTAATATTATATATGTAATATTTAATATTAGCGGAGCAACAGGGAAACATTTTCATTCTGAGGTTTGGACTTGCTGGAAAACACCCTCAGTTTTCCTTACATTCTTTTATCCTCCTCATCACTTTCTCCTCCATCACTCTGTTCATGTTCTTCTTTCTTCAAGTCTTTGTTTTTTCTTTCCTCTTTCTTGCCTCAATCACCATTACACTTTGCTCTCACTTGCTCCATGTCAGTAGAAGTGTGAGCGCTGGTGAGTTTTAAAAACACAGTTTATTTTGACTCTGTTTGTGGTGTGATGTTTCCCTTAACAACATCACAGTTTGAATCGTTTTGCCTCTCCTTCCCTCTCTCTGTCCAAACCTATCCAGGCAGTTAAAGTTGGCGCCATGTGTCTGCTTTAGACCTTGACCCTGCCTATACACAATCACAGACACACACTGCCAGTCTTTCATTCAGGCCCATGTTTCGTGTTTTGTGTGTCACCATTGCCCTGGCTGACCCTCTTAATGTGCGCTCACACACAGACTCCCTCCTGACCACCATGTTCCAGTGTGCCAGCTTCTCTTCACTGTCTTGTGGTGTGTGTGTGGGTTTGTCTTTATATACTTGTGCGAACCAACCCCTGACGGAACACCTTTCTTGTGTGGACCTTTTGGGTGGTCCACACAAGGAAAATACTAGGATAGGCTCCTTTCATCCTAAAGAATGATCAGTCTAAGTTTCAGAAGATGTCCACATACAGAGAGTAAAGTCAGAAAAATGTGTGCCAGCTTGTGCTCTTTTGCCCCCTATGCGGTGGTGCAGTCAAAATTTGATTTACAGGGAGGAGACACAATCCAATTTTCTGATTGGCTAAGGCTGGGAAATTTTGTGATTGGCCATTATCTACATTTATTTTATCATATGCATGCAAAAATGCACTAAAATAAAGTATCCTGCACCGATTAAATACTGCTTAAGCTGAATTCATGCAATACTGCCTGTGTAGGGTGCAGACAGGGCATCTTAGAAGTGAGTGGCAGTCAAACAATATCTATAACACCTGGAGCTTGAGTCTCACCTTCAACTAATGTTGCATTAAATGCATGCCTCAACACTGCGGAGACTCCACAATCGGTGTGCTGAGAGATACGACGAGGAGAGAACTGTGAAAGCTGAATGAGACGATGAAAAACAACTGCAAATTGTCCAGGTAAGATTTATGAAACTAGTTAGTTGTTTTGGTTTGAAACTAAATTCTGGTTTAGTCCTCTGGCTCATTCTGGGCGCAGACAGGGCAGCTTGAAAGTGGGTGGGAATCAAGCAATATTTATAACACCTGGAGCTTGATCCTCACCTTCAGCTAATGTTGCATTAAATGCATGCCTCAACACTGCGGAGACTGCGGTAGCACCACAATCAGTGTGCTGAGAAATACGACAAGGAGAGAACCGTGAAAGCTGAATTAGACGACGAAAAAAAACTGCAAATTGTCCAGGTAAGATTTATGAAACTAGTTAGTTGTTTTGGTTTGAAACTAAATTCTGGTTTAATACTCTGGCTCATTCTCCAGCATTAGTATTTGTGAAGCTATTAAGCTAATGTTTGCTTTGAGTTATTTCTTTAAATAGAGGCTCACAAGTTAAAGCTATTCTTCCATCAACATCAAAGAAGTGTCGCCAAACATTTGAGCAACTTCGTAGGAAGGGAAATTATTATCATAACATTGAGGTGTTGCAGAAGGGTGAGGGTGAGATAGTAACCTATAGACAGCCATTAAAACATGCAAATGCAGAAGATTATTTGCCATGCAACATTTGCTATGGGTTCTTCATAAAAGATGAAATATAGAAGTATGAGAAACGGTGTCGCAGAACAATGTTTGAGTCAGAAGTTAAATCCCAGAAAAAAAGAAGAGTTCAAGCTGCTGCCTCAGCTCTCCTTCCATACAAAGGACAGCCATCAGAAAGATGCTCAAACATTGTTAAGAGAATGGTAATTGACAAGGTGTCCCTTGAATTAAGACATGACCCTCTCATATGTGTATTTGGAGATAGACTGCTGGAGAAACACGGGAGTGACTGATCAAAAGATGGTCATGTCAGTCAAAAGATGAGAGTTGGGTAGATTTTTACTTGCTGCCAAGTCCCTTGACCGCGAAGTTAAGATGCTGCAAGATGTTTTGGTGCCACCTAAATTTTCTTTAGTTGTGGAAGCAGCAAAAAAGCCTCTGGGTTCACCAGCTCCAAGTACACCATCTCTTGCTTTGAAGTTAGGACACTTGCTGAAGGCAGTATGTGACATTGTGATTCGGGATCATATAAAGGCTGAAAGTGATGCAGCTGCAGGCAGAGTAAAGAGCTTCTTGGACTTAGTGGCAGCAGAGTGGGACCTCTTGGTGTCACGCTATGCACGAACAAACTTTGCAGAGGACAGATGGAACAAAAAGGAAATGCCTTTCTGTGTTTTATCTATTACGTTTTATAAATGCAACAGTTATTGTTTTGTAAGCTAAAGCTGAGTCTAATTCCTAATAGCCAAACCTGGTGGCTTATGGAGGTAAATTTGTTTCTTTAATCTGCAGTGAAATAAAACATTTGAGAGCAGGATTTTGGTACTGCAATCAAAATATGCTTCACACCTCTGGGGGTATGACATCACACGTTTCACACATAGGTTCTGGGTTTTTATTACATGCAGCTGCACATCTCCCATGTGATTTTCCAGATTTTATGGTTTTATTAATATATAGCCGCACACCTGTCTTCAGTCTGGCATCAATAGAACTAGGC